AGTGAGGGAGACATCTCTTTTTGGTGTTCTTAATCATCATTACAAATAAAAACAGTGGATAAAGTTTCTTAAAATCAATTCTGTGGTTCAGGAGTATGAAATCAGTTCAGTATTTTCAAAATGTTTTCTGATTAATTTTTCATGTTTTGCCTTGTCATCAGACAACGACATTCTGTTCTTTGGAACAGGAAGCCATTTCTTTCTGTTACTGTAGATTTTTTTTTTAAAAATTCCATCATATCTCATAGTCTTTTTAATTAAATAGCTTCTATATTTCTCTATGGCCTCTTATATTTCATACCTTAATATAAAATAATTCTTCAAATAAAACTACTACTGAATATTGCCACCCAATATAGAAAACATCTGGAAGTGAAAATGGGACATCTGTGCTGGACATTTCAGCATTGTGGGTTTGAAAAGCAAGGAATAGGAATGGTTTGTTCATCACTTCATAAAGACTGTGTTTTCAAGTGATTAAACCGTATTCTTCTAAGTGTGATATTTGTGCAGCTGCACAGCAAATAAGTATGAATATAATATATGATAAATATTACATGTGGGCCAAAATCTGAAGTCCCTGGGGGAAATGTGCATTCAACAGGAGGCCCGAGTGTGGAATGCAGAGTTTGTGTTTGCCATTAGTATAAGCCCTTATGTCTCCATAGATGCCTATTTTCAAGCAGTATGTTCTCAGACATAGCATGGAATGCAGTGCAACGTCTCCTTCCCTTGCTTCTCCACTCCAGACACATACCAAGGCCTTGCCCACAGGCAGCTCTTTGTATGTTTGGTTCACGTGTGTGAGTAGTCCCAGCAGGGTGAAACAACCCCTACAGAGCAGTGACTGCTCTTGCTCTGCTTGAGTGAGTGGTGGTCATGCAGAGGGTTCAGTGGCAGCAGCAGCAAAGCCTGAGGACTCCCTTGCCTGCAGCTTGTCATGATACCACATAATAGCGCTACACATTCCCTTGTTTTCTCTCTGATTTTCACATGTGTTGCCTAACTCAGGTTAGAGAACACCCTTTCACCCTCCCTGCAATTACAAAAGATCTGTATGTTTGCCACTGGAGACAAATACCAGCTTATCTGACATACAGGGGAGCCAGTAACACAGAAGTAGCATTGGCACTGGCGGAGGTTAGTGAGCAATGGAGACTTGGTTTCCAAGGTTTACAAGTCCTGTAATCTCTGACAAGTGACATTTCCATACTTCTTGTCACATTTGTTTAGGGTTGTGCATGCCTCGTGAGTCTTGCAGGCTGTTACTGAAGTTGAGCAATCAGCTCAGCACAGATTTGTTTCTCTTGAGGAACAGGAGGATCTTGTTACTCACTGCTCTTGCATGGTCACTCCATTAAAGCAGCCATGTTTTGAACTTTTTGTTCATTATTTGCACAATATTAGGCTGGGATCTTGCTGACTTACAATCTTCAGGGCGCTCTCCCTGCAGTGCGTTAACATAAGACTGCAGAGAGAGGTTTCTCCTCCTTTGGCCCTTCAGAGAAGGCAGCGGGTGGATCAGCCATCCCTGTGAAAGCCTGGAGGAGAAGTGATTGTGCCTTGCCCTTCTATTTTGTAGGCCATGCATCTCCTCTGAGTGCCAAACAAACAGCTTGAAAGTTGTATCATCTGCTCTTGCTGCTAAACTTGGTCTTGGTTGGTGGAGAAACAGAAACAGAGGGGGGAAATGGCAGTTTTTCCCAGCACTCCCTGCCAGGGTAGAAGGTGGAGAAGCAGGCCAGCAGGTTGGGCCTTCTGCTTCTCCCAGCACCCATCACATGGGATTTGCTATTTTGTGATAAAATATTGCTAATAACAATTAAAAAGCCTTCACACTGGAGAAGTGGCTCTCCGCAGACTTTGTGGAAGGACTCAGAGTTACCTCTGTTTTACAGAGCAGGAAGGAGAGGTATGGAGAGGCAAAGTACCTCACCCAAGCCACTGAAAGGAAGGAGGATCGCCTCTGGACAAACACCGTCCACCTCTTCTCAGCCCCAGCCACACTGCTGGTCTGCCAGGGAGCCCCAGGGCTAGGAAAGTTGAATATCATCAAATTAATTAGCCAAAATAATGGCTAACCACCTAGAGCCAAACTCTGCTGTGCTTATGTTCTTATACCCTGACTCCAGCTGAGAGTCTGAGGAAAAATGCCCTCCGGGCCCTAAATGCAGGGTTGCACCTCCATTCCCCAGGGTCATAGAATCACAGAGTGGTTTGGGTTGGAAAGGACCTTCAGAGTTCACCTAGTTCAGCCCCCTGCCGTGGACAAGGACACCTTTCACTAGATCAGGTTGCTCAAAGGCCCACCCAAACTGGCCTTGAACACTTCCAAGGATGAGGCATCCATCTTGTGAGAGTGGAGTAGAGGGGGACAAACTCCTCCCTGAAACTGCTGGCCACACTTCTTTTATGCAGGCCAGGACATGGTTGGCTTTCTGGACTG